ATGTGGGAAATATTTGCAGGTCATCCACCATTTGATGATAGAGCTCACAATCATTGTTTGATTTTTGATATATGTGAGGAAGGTTTACGACCACCAATATTACCTGAAATGCCTGATTATTATGTGCAAATGATGCAGAGGTGTTGGGATGTGGATCCATCAAAAAGACCAACTATTAGAGAGCTTTGGAGACTTGCTAGAAATAAATTCAAAGAAATTATTAATGATGATAATAGTAATAATAATGCTACTAGTAGTGGTAGTAGTGCTTCGCAACAAGCACACAAATCACATCCAGATGCATATCATACAAGTAGAATATTAGACAAAGAGATTGCTAAATCTAAGAGCTTTAAAGTTTATACAAGTAATGATACTTCGTCATATAATCTTGATCTTGGTTTTAACTAGAATGTTTACAAAGATAATAAAAATTTCATTATTAATCAACTGGAAATTACTAATAATATTAATTAATTAATTAAACATTAGATTCTAGTAATAATTGTCAAAAGAAAGAATCGATTTAAATTTCACTATAAATTTATTATTACGTGTATTACCTTTTATTTATCTTTTTATTTTATCCTATTTTGTTTCTTAAAGCTAAATTATAATAATGTTTTGAAATAATAAACTTTTTATAGTTTTTGATTCTTGTTAAATGGTGATATTGCGAGGTGTCACTTTGGTTAATTCTGGTTTAACTATTAAGACTACTCTACTCTTGTCAGTTAATTCGGTGTTTGTCAATTAATTAGTTTACAAATTTACTTTGGTTTCCTCTTTCTTGTACTTGGACGAATCTGTGAGCGCATTTAATGGCACCAGATAACTGTAATTAAATAAAGACGGCCCTTTGCAATGCTATAAAGTTCCTTTTATTCACTTGTGATCGATTTGTTTCAGTTGTTTACATTTATTGGCCGATTGCAAACTCGCTTTGGTTTACTTGCTTAACAATCTTACGTTTACAATTACAATAATACTACCATTTCCGATTAACCCTTAGACGGAAGATATTTCATTAACACCCGTTAGTTAACCAGCGTTATATACTACATTAAACTACTGTAAATTTTACCAATCAATTGATTTAATCGATCAACTGATTTTAATATTGGTTCCTAATAAAAATCGTTGACCATTAATAAATTTGACCCTATTAAAGATGAATACATGGATATTATGATATTATTTCTACACATTTTAATCAGGTTACCTTTCTTTCGGGTAAATCAATACAATATAACAAACCTTTGGGCTAGACAAAAAAAGGAAATATGTCATCCGTGTGGATTAATTATAAAAATTTTTTTTAATAAAAGTAATAAAGTAATAAAATAAACAATATTTATAGAATATAATTGTTTGCTAATTCATGCAAACATTTTATTTGAATTAAAAAATTTTTTTTACCAAATTAAATTTTACAAATTTTAACTAAATCAAAGCACTTTTTAAAGTCTAAAACTATTCTTGTTCTTTGTATATTTTCCTCCACCTCCTCTAATTCACCCATCATTCAACAGATCATCAGTCGAGTTCTCCTTTTCTAGTCTTTTTATAGGAAGATATGTTGGAGGTTATGCCATTTTTGTAAAATTCCGAGCAATAATAATAAGTGCGTCGATTATCCTTTATTTTATTATTTTATTATTTACATAAATTCATCCTAAAAAGAAAACTCAATTAATCGATTCCATGCTCTTGTATCATCGCCTTGACTTTTATAATCATCCATGAATTCAATTGAGCTATCTTGAGACATTAACGAAGCATGATCCAATGAGGCGTTAGAATTTTCCATCATACAAACACGATCAGATTGTGACAATGTAAGACTCATAGAACCTTGGCTACTATAAGCATTTTGTGTGAGAAGTCCTTGTGATGAGATTGAATTAGAATATCCATTAAATGGTGAAGCTGTTGATGAAGCTGCGGCTGCAGATGATGGTGAATTTTGATTTTGCAGTTTCGTGTTTTTACGACTGGAGATACTACTTTGCGATAAATCTTGTGTAAAAGGTCCGTTTGGTGTTGGCAATAATGGAATGGTAAATTGTGATGACGGTGGTATGGCACTCATGTCAGATGGTATATAACCAACAGGATCATGCGTTCTAATGAAATCTTGATCATAAACGCGATTACCACGACGATTTTCACTAGCAACAGGTGCTTTTGCTAAAGCTTCACGAGCATCAATTTGATGAGCCAATCCTTGCCTGAATTTATCATCCTTATGATATGTTTTCCTTGGCCTACTGAATTGGATCATGCTAACCTTCAAGTTGCTCAATGGTCCTTCGACTAAGCATTCTTTTTCTTTGTAATGAACAAGAAGATGATGCCATAAGGGATGCTTGCTCAAAACCTTGGGATTTCCCAAAATAACAACGCCATATCTAGATCTAGTCAATGCTACATTCAAACGTCTAGGATCATTCAAGAAACCTATTCCTTGATGCTCATTACTTCTAACACAACTCAAAATAATATAATCTTTTTCACGACCCTGGAATGCATCAACACTTGCCACCTCGATATCTTTATACAAATCCTTACGTAATGATCCATTGGATTGCATATAACTAACAATGTAGCTGCGTTGTCCCTCGTACGGTGTTATTATGCCTATTTGAGCTGGGAAAATTCCTGATTTTAGAAACTTTGTAACTACTTTCTCGCAGTTTGATGCTTCTGTTCTAAAATTATATTTTGTTGAGGAGGAATAGAGAAAAACATTTAAGATAAAAATCATGATATATTTATCTTTAAAAAAAAACATATAGTAAATTTTATCTTACCTATTCAAATAGGAAGTACCACTACTTGAAATCTCTTCTTGTCCTAAATTAGAATGGAAAAACATTGGAGTTTCAGGGACGGGCCATGGGAAATCAACATTTTTTCGAAGTCTGTCTTGTGTAGTTACACCATTTTGCAAAGAGCCTTCGTAAAACATATTACTTGGAAATTCGGAAAGACAAGGATGCATACGGTACTGAACTTGTAATCTGATTGGACGTATGCCCAAGATAACCAATCTTTCAAACAATGATTGACAAAGACCAGCACGTGCTGCTTTTTTGTTCATAATAACAGGTCCTAATTGTTGGTGATCACCTACAAGAACAGATTGCTTACAACCAAGAACAAGTGGTATCATGCATTCTGGTTCAGTTGCTTGAGTAGCTTCATCAACCAAAACAGTTCGAAATTTAAATTTGGATAAACGAGGATCTCCTGAACCCACACAAGTACAAAGAATAACATCAGCGTTCTATAATAAACGAATATAAGTTGGAAAAAAGATGATTAAATCATTAATTAATAAACTTTAATAAAATGACTTTTCTTTACCCGTAAAATTTCTCTTTCACAATCACGTTTTAACATCTTGTATTTTTTCTCGTCAGAACTACTCAATTCACCCTGCTCTGTTTTCAATTGAATCAATTTTTGCAATTCGAGATTGGTATCGTTATTAATCACTTGTTCATGTAATGTGAGAAATGAAACAGGCGAATCTAAAGCTTCACGAGATTTGGCAGTGAGCCTTACAACTTTAAGACCAGTTGCATGAATCTTTTCTGTTAGTTGATCAACTGCAACATTTGATGGGGCACAAACAAGAACTTGGCCAGGATTCATTTTTGCAAGATGATATACAATTGTAGCAGAAGTAACAGTTTTTCCTGTCCCGGGTGGTCCTTGAATTAAACTTAAAGGTTTTTGTAGTACACTTTTGACCGCATAAACTTGTGAATGATTTAATTCTGGTAAGTTTGGTGCCGAAAATCTATTTATAATAAATGATGTAATTTATAAAATGATATATTAAAAATATTTTTTCTTATTGTATATAAATTATTTATTAATTGATTAATAAAAATCAACTAAATACCTTTTTGGCATTTGAGTACGAAGAACTTGAGGTTCAACTTCATGACCAAGCAATTTATGATAAATGTATCCACTGACCGAAGATTCATCAATGGCAAAAGTTTTCATTGCAGTTTGCATTCTATCAAAGCTAGTAGATTTCCATACAAAATCCACGGAGAAATTGTGTGTACACTCGACCGGTGTATTATCATTTCTACGTAATTCCAATCCAACTTCATCGCTAACATCTTTTTTTTTAAAAGAGAGGTTTGGTTATTATTGTTATTATTAATGCTAGTGTTGGTTTTTATTTAATAAAATAGTGCCTATCTTGTCAAAAAAATAAAATAATTAAATACATACTATTCGGAATTTTTATTACATGTCCAATACATTCCCAAGGCTGATGCAATTCACCACGATAACGAAGCCTCAACTCATCACCCACTGCCAAACGAACCTCTAAAACAAATAATAATAATAATAATAAATGTTAAAATATTATCAATAAATAATGATAAAATCCCAATTATCAATTAAAACATACCTCCAGATTCTAATTTTGGTAAATAAAACCATGCAATACGTTTCTGATTCAAACCAATATCCCATCTTACCACAATGTCATCTTGAGTTTGCGATTCCTTTAATTTTTTGTCATAATCAGCTTCCATTTTTACTAAAGGACCAAAAATATTTTGATATTGATACGCATCTTCATATCTGAAAAGTGATTTTTTATTTTTTATTTATTTTATTTTTTTCAAGAGGACAGTCCATATTTTAAAAAATAAATAAATAAATACCTTAACAAAACAGGTGGTGGTTCATCGTCAATACCAGGTTTCTCCAAATCTTCTAAAGTAGCTTCAGCATTATCTTTCCATAACTCTTCAAGTTTATTTATTTGTTGAGCTGTGATCTGACGAGCTCTAAGTTGTTCTTGTTCACTCGGAACTTTTACAAGCCAAGGTAAGAAGCATCTGTCATCGATAAGAGGGAGCCATTGAGAAGTATCCCAATTCATATCTTTGCTACTTGGCATAGCAGCACAAGGTTGACTAATCAAAGAAAAAAAAATCACATAAGTTCATATTTTATGTTATAATTATTTTTCTATAGAGTAATAACTTACCGACAAAGAAGTACAACTACAGTGTCACTTTTTGCAGGAATAAAACCAAGTAAGAACACATTTCTACAACCACAATTATAACATTCCAAGGTAGTTTCTCCAAGTGGCGAGTCAGGATGCAAAGCCACTTCTTTATGTTTTGCACGAACTAAGTGGTTGATTATGTGAGAACCCGATGTATTACCTCTCGAATTACAAAACCATTTACTACAAGTAACACATCTAGCTATGGAATTTACCGAGTGAATACCACAATATCTAAAAAAAAGTTGCAATAATTATAATTATTGTCGTCCCGATACTTTTACGGAAAAACATTTTTTATATAATAAAATAAATATAAATATAAATATAAATATAGTACCTGCAAGCGTGCTCAGGTAATCCTCTTTCGATAATATTTAGAGACTGAAACGAATCTAGTTCATCTCCAACAACACCACTTAGATCAGGTTCAACAAATTGATTTTGGGAACCATTAAGTAAATTACTTGATTGCTGAGAAGCAAGAGTTGAATCAACCGAAAAGTCGTTGTAGTCGTAGTCAGTAGCTTGAGTGTCACCGCCAGAATATTCAAGAAAAGAAAAATTTTCATCTTCTTGAGTGTTCTGAGTATGGAAACGACTAATGTTACTCATGTTTGAATTATTTAGGAATTTTTTTTTTAATTTTACAATGGTATTTATATATTTATTTTATTAATTGTGATCTACAATGGAAAAATATTTTGTGTTCAAGTAAAAAGATTTAGATAACCGAAAAAATTAGATATTATTATTATTGCATATCGGAAAAGATGCATCGGATAAATGAATAGAATGAAATAGATAAAAAATACAACCACTATAGATATCTCTATAAACACTCCCATAAATCATTGTAGTTGAATTTAAAGTTATGGTTGTAGATTTTCATTACCATATATATCAGGTAAATCTTGATTTTATTTATTTATTGTTGAAAAGACCTTCTTCACTGGTTATAGTGGTGGAAACTTTTGATTATTTTTTAGTTCTATGTCTTCTTTGATTTACAGAAGTTTTTTTTGGAACAATTTATTTATGTAATTGAATAAAGTAGCAATACAAGTTAATTTAATATATGTATAAAATTTCAATGCATTGTAAACATTATATTCTTCAGTGAACGATGACATATAGTATCAACATTTCAACTTTACGGGGTGATCCAAAAATATTATATTTTGAATTATGCTAAATATACAATTGAATTAAATTCAGTCATTGTTATTATTTTAAGGATCTAATGGCTAGCTGTGAAGAATCACAAATGTTTAGTAAAAAGGTTGTACAACTATAAGAAAACTCGAAAATACTGATTGAACATATGAGGAGCTAGTTAGTCATCCAGCTTTGATGCATATTTATCAATTAGGTTGTAATTTTTCTGAAAGCAATGGATACTTGTGAGAATATTCAAGTTATTGTTATAGAGGTTCAATGATCTTCCTAATGTTAGTTATAGTCTAGTTCAACTAATTAAAACACAAAATCAAATTAAAGACTTTCCATATGAGCGGAAAATTATATGATATCTGAGAAATTTCACACAATGGGAATTTTTGTATAGAATTGGTTTTTAAATCGAATTCATCGACTTTAAAATAAATAAATCAAAATTATTATTATTATTAATGTTCAAAACCATTCAAGCCATTTCTATAGAAACATAATCTTCATTTTCTTCTTTTATAATCAAATCTTTGTTATTATTTATTATCAAAAAATTCCTTGTGAGAAACCTTTAGCAAAGAATTTAACATTATTGTCAAGAATTTTGTAATGTAAAACTGCTGGTCTGAACCATTTATCATAATTTCGGGGACCTCGGGCTATATTAATCTAGAAAATAAAAAATAACATTTATTAAAATATAATAATATTTTGATCAATACATTATAGGAATATTTTAATTAGTTACTTCTCCAGAAATATCTCTTGAAAATCCAGATTCTAATCCTTTAACAGATAATAAATAATCAGATTGATAAATTAGTGTATTTATTAATACTATTTGTTCTATTTCTTCTTCTTCCAGAATCACATCATCAGTATGAAGTAATGTTATAAGTGTACCCTCGAACTTTTTGATCCACCAAAAAAAAAATCAAAGAATTTTAATAATTATTACAATTTACTATTTAATCAATTATTATTAATTAGCTACCTTTTCAACTAAAACACGACATGCTTTAATAAATTCTAAAATATCTTTTATAGAAAATCCTGAATAACTCAAAACTGATAAGTCATCAAAAATTAAAGATACATGAGCATCCTTTGATGAATGTCGTGTTGAAATAACTTCCTTTATTGTATTATAAATATTTTGTAAATCTTTTTTTCCATTAGATATTGAAATGGAGACATTTTTTGATGCTGTTAATACTGATGAAGTTGTATTGGTAGTTGTAGTTGCTTTATCTGCTGATGTAATATTATCACTGGTATTTTGAAAAAAAAAAGAAGTTAATCCATCAAGAAATGATAGGGTTCCTTTTTGATTTGCAAGAGTAAGGTTTACACCCTAATTTAATTAATCGGTTACATTTTATTATTTCCCTGCATCATTCATCTCATTCATTTCATTTCTTATTTTTAATATCTAATCAAGAAAATCAAATAAATTACCAGCTTTCTTCCAATTGTTGAATAATGTTCAAACTTTTGCGTAAACCCTACCAGAACAACATGTTTGTTAACTTTTAGTTGATTGGCTATGAAATGATGCAGAAGAAAGTTTCCTTGAGCAGACAATGTGTCAGTTATTAAAACGGATTTTTTAATTGGTATAAGATTATCTTCAGGGAAAGAAAGTGCCTCATCAAGAGATTCATATCCCATTGTTAGAAAAAAATTTTGTAGTATATCTTGGTCCTAGAGGTTTTTAAGAAATTTGGAATGACTTATTATACGATCATCATGTGTTACAGTCTACCAAATTCATATATAGATCAGCAACAAAAATTCCTGTTTGTTGTTATTATATGATTTGATCCAGACTAAAATTAAAGAACCCTAACATTAGAAAAAAGAACATAATTTGACTTATAATACACATATATGGGCCATGCTGCAACAAAACCAGACAAAGTGAACATTGGTATTACCAAAAAAGCGTTTGATCATGATATTCATCTAGTAATATGAAGCTAATTTACATTAGGAACATTAACATGCTTTAAGAACAATCTACATATTTTTGATCATACAGTATAAACAAGTTTCAAAACACTGAGCATAAAAATATTATAATCATCATTATAGTTATGTTGTTATTCAATTTATTTTTATACTTAGATTCAATGAATTTATAAATTAGGAAAAAAACAATTTAACAATATTAAATTGATAACCATCACAAGGATTTCTTGGTGTTATTTTGAACACACTGTCTTTTTGTCACAAGTTCTCCATTTACAGATACTTTATCATTTAACATCCATGTAATTTTTTCAATTACTTTCTTCACGCATTTCCTTAGTTCTGAATCATCTCTTAATGCTTCCACTTTTATTAGCTGATGTATAAACTAAAGACTAGTGCTGTAAATTATGATGATGGTAGTAATTATATTTACGGCATATAAAAAGTGGTTGCAATTACCTTTGCAACCATACTTTTTCCTTTTTTGGATTACGGCATTAGTCTTTAGTATAAACATCCTTTCCTTCATCAACAAACATAATGTACCACCATGTTGTACCAGTAGTAACAATTCCATATGTATAATTAAGTTCTTTTTTCTGTTTACATTTCCTACTGTTTTCCTATAATATAATACCAACACAAGTTATTATTATGTTTACACAATTTTAAAAACCATATATACTTACTTGTAATGAACTATTGAGTTGAACGATATTCATTGCAATTCCTTCTTTCATATCACTTTCTTTTACTTCTGAGATACAGATTAATCTTTTGATTCATTTTCCTGTGTGTTGGGAATTAAACCAATGTCAAAATCAACAAAAAATGAAGCAGCTAATTCTATCCATTTGAAAAGGATACAATTTACATATTACTTACTTTTTCTGACGATGAAAGAGGTTTTCTAAGAAATAAATATCATTTTTTCTAAATAAACTAGAACAACAACAAGTGGCAGGCGATAACCACCACCACCATCCTTAAAACACTTACTTGTGTTGTTCTTTGTTGGTTTCTTGTCTTCTTCTTTTGGTATCTTTTTCTGATGACATTATAAAAAAAAATTTTAAAAAAAGAAGTTTGTGATTTGATCAATGCGTACAGTGTGACAGATTTGGGAAAAAATTCCCAATCAAAAATCAATAAAAATTTTACAGTCACGTGTTTTAAAAATAGATTTGGCACGTTGCATTATCTTTATTAGTATCACGTGATCATTATCTGTTGTAAAAACAGGTGGAGGTGGAATTTCCCTTTCAAATTCATCAGATTCTTTATATGGTTTAAGGAGTGAAACATGAAACACTGGATGAATTTTTAAATTTGCTGGTAATTCTAATTTATATGCTGCTTTTGATATTTCTGCTATTATCTTATATGGACCAATATACTTAGGACTAAGTTTTCTTGTAGGTCTTTCTTTATCTACAGGTGTGTTAATATTTTTTGTTGATAATAAGACTTAGATGTGTCACCAATTAAGAATTTTTTTCACGCCTTTTATTATATATATTATTGTTAACCAATAAAGTGACAATGAATAAAGGGCGAGTAATTTTTTTTCTAAAAAAAAAAATCAAAAGGAAAATAATTGTATCATGATCCTGTGACAGCGTTAAAAATAACAAAAGAACCAACCAACTCATTGGTTAGACTTTGAGTATAGAGGAAAGAAAGATAAAAATAAAATTCAATTTTTGAGCAGTTCTATCTGGAATCATTCAATCTATACATGCTGTCAAAATCAAGTCACGTGATTAAATACAATAATTTATCAATCCAAGTTTAAATAATCTTGCTAATTTCTATTTGGCCTCTTTATTATCAGCTGGATACACCCTATGTCTTAATATTCTTCTGGATCATCATCCAAATCACTTTCATCACTAGTATCATTAAAAGTTTCATCATCCAGTGCTTCAAACCAATAACTTTCAATTCCATTGTTTGATGATGAACTGATGGAAGAACTTGATTCATTATATATATCATTATTTATTTGGATTTATATGTGAAATATCAAATGAATTAGGAACTTTCAGATGTAATAGATGAATTATCATAATTATCAACCAATTCTGTTGTAAGATCATAAACAAACCAAATAAAATATTACTAATTATTGCAATTAATAATTAATCCAATGATAATATAAAATGCACACAATCCTCTCAATGATATAGCTGTCTCATTAGCCAATTTAGGAAGCAGTAATAACCAACACAAAAATAAACATAATAATAAATAATAGGAAAACCGGGTTTCGAGTAATATATAAAAAATTATTTTTTTTGTGTAAACAATTAATTAAATTTGTTACCCCTGGAAATTATTTTACGATTTCCGTGCAATATTAATATATGAAGTATGTATTCATCTTTAAAATTTTAATTGATGATTTATTTACATTAATTTTATGATTCCTGGGCATACAAAATTCATCTGTGATGCAAATTTTGGATATATTAAGAGTAAATGCAAAAATAGAATTATAAATATAGTTGATGATGTTGAAAAGGTGATAAATGATTCAGCAGAATGTAATAGCCTGTTAGATATAGTAATAGCTTGAATTGGAGCTGGTATAATTTTACATTGTTATTTGAAGGGCATTTCCAAAGTCTTCCAAATATAATAAAATACATTTCAGTAGTTTATCAAATGATATTGGAAAAGTTTATGTTTCCAAAAAATCAGGTGGCACAGAAACTTCTTTTAAACTTTTAAAAAATGATGATTTTGATAAAAATAATCAATTAACCCTACTTGAGGTTGCTCCATTAACAAAAGATAGAAAAATTTATTGGTATAACAAAATTCGTCGGCATGTAGACCCAAAATTTAGAGATATACTTTGCCCCAATCCTAATTAATTTTATATAATAATTTTTAAACAATCAAATACTTTATTAGATACTCAAAATGGTAAATTAATACTAATGACAAGCGTAATAAAAATTATGAATTAGTAACACTCTATGGGGTCTCCGTGACTATTAAATTTATTAATTATGAAATGTGCAGTATGTAGATCATTGCTTTTTTTAAATTTTTATTTTTATTTTTTTAAATAAAATTTCGGTTACCCCCAAGAATTTATTTTTGTACCAAGTAAACCACATCTAATTTTTTCACAAATTATATTAATATTATGCAAAAAAAAATTTTTTGACCAAAAGTCTCGAAACCCGGTATTCCTAGAGCGCCCTCCATATTTGTTATACAAAATATGTACAGTCAAAAATTTTTAATATAATACAGAAATTGGGTTGTACTAGTTTTCCATTTTCTTTTCAATGATTTAAATACTTTAAATTCTTTATATCTAATTGACTTTGTTATGAATCATTGGAAAAATGGTCTTGCTTTGTTTTATTGTTTTATTTTAGAAACTTGGAAAAATCCATAATTTGTTACTCGCAAAAATTTGGACAAATGATCTATCGAATGCTTGTTTACTGAATTATTTTAGAAACTTGGAAAAGGTTGCTATTCGCAAACATTTGGACAACTATCAATTGTTTGTTTATTGATTTATTTTTAGAAACTTGGAAAAGGTTGTTTCTCGCAAAAATTTGGACAAATAACCTACTATCAATTGTTTGTTTATTTGTTTATTTTAGAAATTTGGAAAATTTTGTTACTCGCAAACATTTGGACAAATAACCTATCAACTGTTTGTATTGGTTTTATTTAGAAAATTTGTTACTCGTAAATCTTTGTTGCTTAAAAATAATCTATTTGATTATTATTTTATCAATTTTGGTAATTTGTGTAAATTTCATAATTTATATGTCACGTGAATCCGCTGTGATGAGACTAGTACATATCTTTTTGACCGGTCTTGAATTAGCATCTTTCGAAACTCATAAATTCCTTTTTTTAATCCCTCGACTTTTGGGATGAAGGAGGTTTTTTATCAATTTTACTATGAGATAATTTTTCAGAATCAGAAGAAACAGATTTGGAATCAGACTCACTTTCTATAAGAAACAATGCCTTTGTGGCTAGGTTTCTCTTGTATCTTTTACCTTTTGAAGTAGATAAGTTTTCAAATTGGGGCTTTTCATCTTTTTCAGGAAATCTTACATAATTTGTGGTGTAATTAGTGATATGCCGCGCATAGTATGTTACGCATAAGGGTTTAGCTATGTTTTTTATAAACATTTATTTATTAATAAAACATTTCCAAGAAAAAATTAAATATGCCATTCACTTTTTATTATTATGTGCGCATTTATGACATTTCCCTCCATATAATATACATATATACATTATGCGCACTATGCGCGAAAAAAAAATTTTCAGGGTTACTATGAATGGCAACCAATGTTGTACACGGGACATGGCATCTATTTGAATCTAGGCCTACCACAAAATCTCGTATAACTTTACAAACTAGCCATTTTTCCTATGCATATAATCTAGGTCCTGGCCAAACTGTCTCTCGTATTGAAATTTTAATGTCCCATTCAGCCTCTAAACTTATTTAAATACCTAATTAATAAAAATAAGCAAATTTAATTTTGCAATTCCATTTTCCACTCATGTATATGAATTTGTAACATATCGATATCCATACATTGTTGTTAATTGATATGTTTTTATCAAGCCACGATTTAATGGACTGATCCGATTGTTTGTTTATTTGATTGGTTCAATGCTAGCAATGCCGGGTATTAGACTTTGCTTAATTAAAAAATTAGTTATTGCATGCGGACGGAGCGTGTGATAATAGAAAAATCAGAATGCTTGCAGAATTTAAAATAATGGCACGTATCCTCGATCATTCAGTCATCTTTGAAATAATTATCGTATGTTTCTGATGCATCCAATAACTGATTTTATTATATGTCAGAATATTCCAGATGGAAATTTAGCGTCGTATATTTGTGTATTTTTAATAGTGTGTAACATACCTTTAATTTTTGTAAAAATATCCCACATATCTTTAATTAGAAATGCGTAAATAATAATAATAAAATAATAAAAATAATAATAATAAATAATAAATAATAGTTATTTATGTTAATTGGTGTATTGATAAATTATCCAAATTGATTCATTGAGTCGCTTGAATATTAAAAATATATTTTTTTAAATCATAAAATATTTCCATTATTTATAAAATAATTCTTAACGTGTGCGCATCTACAAAAGCGTGCTTCTTTTTTTTTAATTGGTTTTTCCTCCTCTTCTCATAATCTATCAATTTATCATCTATCCATCCATCAATCTCACCATTGATTCTTTTCCTGTTGCCAATTCTTTACTTCCCCTCAGGAATTGGCTGTCTACTTTACCTCATTCATTCCACTAATTCACTAATTCACTCGTTCATTCTCAAACCATTGTCACTACATTATCTTTAATTTTATTTGTTCAATCAAGAATACAATATTGTTGTAAATCCGTTACTAAATTTTGACAACACCAAATAGATTAATGTTACACAAATTATGTGTGCATTTTATATAAATATGGGTTACCTTTTTTTTAATGAATTTCTTTTCTATCGATTTTTTATCCTTCTTCTCTTCTCCTAAATCATCCATTCGCCTTCATTAACACGCATTCTCACCCCATTCTTTTCACTATACACAATTTCTTCGCCTCAGGAATTGGGTGTCCACTTCATTCTTTTTCATTTTATAAATCAATCATAATATACTTATTCTAAAGAAAACAAATAATCATAATCAAAATGATTGCTTCTAAAATTTATTCAATTACCATTGCATTGTATTTGGTTTCATGCTTGTTTTCGGCTGTTTTAGTCGATTCGGCTAAAATCAAGTGTGATAAAAAAGCTTTAAAGAAAGAATTCAATACAGATAAACAAGAATTTGTGGTCTTGCTTAAACATAATAAAGGATCAACCTCCGCCGCTTCCGATGATTCAGAAAATACGGCAATCCTTAAACAACATTTGAATTTTTTTAAAGACTGCTTGGACATAGATTCTAAACCACTTTTAGATAAAAATGGTGGGAAAATTACCACAAAGAAAACTTCGCCGGATACAGTATTGCATTTTTCTGGTGGCAACCTTTTTGGTTATGTTGGTTTTTTTAATCCTCGATTAATTAAACAACAAATCAAATCATTACCTAATATTAAATTAGTTGAAAAGGTAACAGAAGTTGAAGCCTTCGCTCCTGTACAAAATAATGGTGGTAGTACAACCGTTAGTACTTCATTTTATGACTTGGATCGTATAGATCAAAAAGATAATAAATTAAATGGAAAATACACTTTTCCTAGTCCAGCTGGTGGAAATGTAAATGTCTACGTGGTTGACACTGGCATAAATTCACAAAATAAAGTGGAATTTGGTGATCGTGTCAGATTTGGTTTTTTTTGTTCTAAATGTGTTCCAGTAGATGATAATGGCCATGGCTCAGCAGTTGCAAGTGTTATTGGTGGTAGCAGTTTTGGTGTAGCGAAAAAAGTTAATCTTATAGCTGTCAAAGTGCTTACTGCAGCAGGAACAGGAACTAGTAGTGATGTTATTGCCGGTTTAGTATTTGTATTAAATGAACATAAAGCAAACAAGAACAAAAATACAGTCGTTAATATGTCATTGGGTGGCGGATTTTCTCAAGCATTAAACAATGCAGTTCAAACTCTCACAGATGCAGGTATACATGTTGTCGTAGCTGCCGGAAATGATGCAGTTGATGCTTGTAAGGTCTCACCTGCAAGTACACCATCAGCAATTACGGTGTGCGCAACTGAAAAGACAAGTGATTCAATTACAAATTTCTCAAATTTTGGATCTTGCGTTGACATTTGTGCTCCCGGTAGAGATGTTCCTTCACTTTTCCTTGGCACCATACCTAGAGAATTATCTGGTACAAGCCTCTCATCTCCGCTAGTTGCGGGTGCTGTTGCTTTAAAAATCAGTGCTATTGGTAATCTTAGCCCTTCAAAAATGGCCAATGAATTATTTTCTGATAGTACCAAAAATATTATTACAAAATTACCAGCTGGCACACCAAATAGATTCTTATTTGTTTCTCAAAAAGTCAATTAAGTGCAAATAAATAGGGTGATTAATTATCATTTTAAAAAATAAACAAATTCTTTATTTGTTTTGGTTAAATAATTTAATTAATAAGACTGCATAAAACTTAAATTTTAATTTTTTTTTTATTGTTTGCTACTATTTACTAAACAAACAAATAATTGAATACTAAATATTTGTGTACGTACAATTAATATTTAAAAAATTACTATTATTATTATGCTTTGATATAATTCCTAATTATCCATATACATTAATTAAATTTTTATTTTGCCAGATAATTCCTTCGTCTCAAAACTTGGTTATCTACTCACGTCATTCGTTCTTTCTATAATGTAAAATAATGATAAATATAATTTAATTTCTTCTGGATTATCTTTAATTTTGTTTTCTGCGGTTTTAGTTAATGTAAAACAAGAAAAATAATTAAAGAACTGTTGCTAATGTTTCAGGAAGCTCAACAACTATTGAACGTCATCATTTAAATATTTGAAAGAATGCCGAGGTATAGATAGGTTCTAAATCAGTTTTATATGATAGTAAGTAAGCTCGCCTAAAAATTTTCCTTTGAAAAATATAGCATTGCATTTTTATGTTGTCACTCTTAGTTTTTGGTTATTTAATGTACAACTTGCTAAAAAACAAGACAAAACATTACCTAATATTTAAATAGTTGAAAAAGGTATTATAGGAAGTTCTTTTACATAAAAAATAAAGCTGTTCAAGATGCGCCACTTAATTTGGATCATATAAATTTACCTTTAAATTAAATTTCAAACGATTGTGCATATATTTATTTCCTTTATTCCTACGCCTAAACAAAATTACACCGCTTGGTAGAGGTGTAGATGTCTAATAGAATTGTGATATTGACCGCTTTCTAAATACTTGTATTGACATTTTGTTCATGGTAGAGAGGCGTCATAGTTATTAATGGTGCAGGCTTTAGTATAGTGTTTTCATCTCCACATATTGCTATTGCTTTACAAGTCCTGAAAAATGACCCAAAGAATAATAATAATAGCTCAGTCAACATAGTGAAATTTTTCTATTTTACTCTCACACTTTCCAAAAATAAAAACTTGCAACTTGTAATTGAAATTGATAGCAATAGCAATAGAGATAGCAATAAAAATAAAGATTAAGATAGAAAATGGAAATAGAAACGGATATTAAGATTGAATGTTGCACCGGATTGATTTTGTTGTTTTCTTACGATCGATAATAATAATATTAATAAAATTTTGAACCAAATTAAAATCCGTTTAGCCTTAACGTTACGAAGCTCTAAAGGGTAGTGATGGTAGTGATGGTGGTAGTGGTGGTAATGATGGTAGTGGTAGTGATAGTAATGGTGGTAGTGGTGGTGGTAATGATGGTAGTAGTGGCAATAATCGTAATGCCATGGATACAAGTTGGTAATAAAAAAAATAAAATTATTATTATCATCATCATTATAACTTGCCCAATATAAATATATTTTGTTAATATTTAACTTATTCCAAAT